ATACCTTCTCCCATTCTGTCCATTGTCTTTTGGTTTTGTTGACTGTTTCCTTTGCTGTGCAGAAGCCTTTTATCTTGATGAAGTCCCAATAGCTCATTTTTGCATTTGTTTCCCTTGCCTTTGGAGACGTGTCTAGCAAGAAGTTGCTGTGTCCAAGGTCACAGAGGTTGCTGCTTGTGTTCTCCTCAAGGGTTTTGATGGATTCCTGTCTCACATTTAGATGTTTCATCTATTTTGAGTCTGTTTTGGTGTATGGTATAAGAAAGTGGTCCAGTTTCATTCTTCTTCATGTGGCTGTCTAATTTAACAAACACCCTTTCCTAAACCCTCAATCTTAAGTAGAATGTTACCAGAGAAAAATGTCATCTTGCAATTGATGTCACTTTTAGTCTAAGACTAGTAATCTCCAGTGGCCACTCTTGTTGCCTACCATCCTGCAGCCAGATCCTGGTCTTTTCACTTCTCCATTTTCCTGGATGACCCTCCCCTCCCCTCCCCTTCCTTCCCCTTCCCGGCCTTCCCCCCCCCCCACCTTTTAAGATTTTATTGATTTGACAGAGAGAGAGAGAGAGAGAGAGAACGAGAGAAGGAGCACAGGTAGGCAAAGCAGCAGGCAGAGGAAGAGGGAGAAGCAGGCTCCCCACTGAGCAGGGAGCCCGACACAGGGCTTGATCGCAGGGCCCTGAGATGGTGACCTGAGCCCAAGGTAGACACTTAGCTGGCTGAGCCACCCAGGCACCCCCAGAAGACTATTTCATACTTTTCTCTCCTCAACACTGCTGCGCACCCATCCTTACTTTTTACCAGTAATCTAGTTTCATGTTTTGCCAAGAAGATAGATGCAGTGAAGAGAGAACTTTGACAAGCCCTCGCCATTGCACACACTCCTGTATCCGCATCGGTGCTCACACATGCCTTCCTCCCGCACTCTGACTGAATGCAAGGGTTCCTGTCAACCTCTCCACACTAGACCCCTTCCTCCCCATCAAAGCCATAGTCTTGGTTGTTCTTCTGTCTCTTCATTTCATTAATTTTCTCAATCATTTCTTCCTTTCTTTATTGATCATTTCTATAAGCCTGCAAATATGCTTTTTTTATTGGTCTTACAGAAGAATTCCCTTTATTGACCCATATTTTGGTCCAGCCAGTTGTTCCTCCTTTTTTCCCCTTTACAACAAAACTTCTCCCAATAATTATCATTACTCATTGTCTCCTGTCTTCCCTCTCCCTCTTGATCTAGGCCTCTTAGAAGAGGCTTCTAGGCCAGCACATTCTCCTACTTTTCCTCCAAACTCTTGGCTTTTTTTTTTTTCTTTTCAACTTTGCTGATTATATTAGTTCTCACTGCTTGTCTTTTTAACATTGGATTTTTCCTCTATGTACTCACATACACTTACTTGGCAATCACACCCAGGCCCATGTTTTTTAGTGCTGTCTTAATGATGAAGACTTTGAATTTCTATATCTTAACAGACTGTTTATGAGCTTTACCTTAACATCTGAAGGCATCTGAGATGTAGCCTCTCCATAAGTGGTATTTCATCCCAGCATGCTTCATGGTTTGCCTTTCCTTAGTTAAGGGCAACTCTGTCCTTCAGCTTGCGTGGGCCAGAAGTCTTTGGTGTTTTTCTCTGACTCATGCTCCATAACCATTTTATCAACAGATCCCTTTGACTCTATATTTAGACTATATCCACAGAGTCTCACACCTTTTCTGCAATTAGGTGTCGTCATCTCTTACTGGTATGGTAGTATTCTGTAATCAGACTTGCCATGTCCCCCTTGCCTGGTTAGAGGCTATTCACCAAGTACCAGCTAGAGAGATGGAATGTAGTTGAGAGAATGGCAGGATTTTACTCAATGGCTTCCTGTCTCCCTCACCTAATTGTTGACTCACTCATTGTCATAGTTAATAGAGAGCTGACAGGGACCTGCAAGGTCCTGTCTGATCTGTGTCACCTCCCCATTCCACACTCTTCAACTCTTCAGCTTTATCTCCTATCAGTATTTCTCTTACTCCAGACCAGGCACTCGGGACTTCCTGCCTTTCCTTTGATGTAATAAGAAATGCCTGTACCCCAGGACCTTTGCACTTGTTGGTCTCTCTGCCCAGAACATTTATTCCCTCAGATATATGCACAGTGCACTTTCTCATTTCCTTCAACTCTCTCTGTATATGTCACCTCTCAGTGGGACCTTCCTGACCTTCCTATTTAAAATCACAGTAGCCCTATCTCTGTTTCTAATTATTTTACTCTTTTTGGTTAGTATCATGATTCTTTTGTTATAGATAGTAAATTGAGCCTTAGGGAGTTTAGTAATTAGTGGAGATAGCACTGAAAACCAGATCTGTCTTGACTCATGGCGCAATCTCTGCATGTGTTAATTTACCCATTGGGATACTCTGTGTACGAACTTTGTATCAGGTTAATTTCACTATAACATGGAGGAAGTCATCATTTTTGCACAAGTTACATGTGTTCTTATCCTCCATCGTTACCTTTTTGGGAGAAGATAGAAACAGATTTTTAACAAACAGTTCATGTCATTGCAGCTTGTTGGAGAGAGTTGTTAAATTAAGCTATTTCCTCAGACCAAGCAGGCATTTGAGTAACAGTTCTGAGAAACTCAGCTTTGCCACCTTCTAGCAGCAAAAAAGGCTGTACTTAGTGGCACCTGGGTGGTTTAGTCAGTTGACCATCTGCCTTTGGATCTGGTCGTGATCTCAGGGTCCTGGGATCGAGCCCCACATGGGGGCCTCTGTTCGGTGGGGAGTCTGCTTCTCTCTCTCCCTCTGTGTTTTCTCTCTCTCACTCTCTCTCAAATGAATAGGTAAATCTTTAGGGAAAAAAAAAAAGCTGTATCTATGTCCTGAGATGACAAATACCCGAGTCCAGGGAACTTGAAGTAGCAGGGAATAAATAAGAACACTGCTCACCTAGTTAGGGAGGCTCAGGCATTCCAGAGTTATGGATTCCACAGGAGGCGGCTTGAACCTTATGACTAAGGAATTGTTCTTAGTTCAATGGAGTCCTGGATTTTCAGAGCTTATCAAGCTGTTCTCCGTCAAATAGGGAACTGATGAGTGATAGAGGTCACAGTCTCAGAAGATAGTCACAGATGGTGATGAGTATGAATCATGCTTTTAAGTTTTTGCAGCTGCTTAGAGAGTGCAGACTACAGGATGTGTCTGGCTGGCGTTCCCCAGCACCTGCCCTATTGGTGGTGCGTATTCAAAAGGAATGATTGAGCTGAGAGTGAATTCTGTGCAACAAGAAGAACTGGTGTCTCTCAATTTTGGGACTGAAATATGAATCCCTGATCTGTCCGCAGACTTCTGGTCACCTGGACAGACTGTGGTCATTATTTGTGTCTACCCAGCTCCCTGAACTTAGGATTTTTCAGGAAATGCTGGTATTGGTGGACAGGTGGTGAAATTTCAAATGAGAATTGAACACTAGTAACACGTACCTTGTGTTTTCAACGCGAAACCTGAAGTGTTTATCAAGCTCTTTTAATGTGAAGAGTCTCAAACTCCAAATTCTGTGTTTTTCTTAGTAGGTAGAGCTGAAATCTCTGCTCAGCTCTTTGGGCTTCCAGCTGTTATCTGCTGGGTTTTTCACGTCTCCTGCAGCCATAGAGGTCAGCCAAAGATTTGGATGGAGTATACACATGGACTTTGGGGAACCCCTATGTGGTGTTCTTTTAGGGGCTTGGTCCCTCAATGTCTAGCCACTGGCAGCCCTGAACCCCTTTCATTCTCTCATAGCTCTGAGCTAATAAAGACAGAGTCTGTCTTGTCTGAATCCTAGCAGTCTCTTGTCACAGAGAATGCAGAGTCCCCTCAGGGGCCAGGACTTATAAATGTTATACTTATCTACTGCCCTTCCTTTCTTTCAGGGGTCAAGGCCCCTTTGGTTTAGGCTGCTTTTTGGCTCTCCAATGCCTTTAAATCACTTATTTGTTACATTGTGTCCAGAGTTGATAATACGTGTGGGCGGGTTAGTCTGAAAAGAGCTACTGGACTCCTTACTAAATTTGTAACCTTAACAAACTGATACATAATTTTCATTGTCATTCAAGTTCAAAATACTTTATAATTTCCTTATAATTTCTTTTGAGCCGTGGATCCGTAGACATATTTAAAATTTTTTTCTAATTTAGGATTTTCTAACTCTCTTTCTATTATTGACTTCTAGCTTAGTTCAGTTGTAGTGAGGGAATATACCCTGTTATGATTTTAATCGTTCAAAATTTGTTGAGATTGGATATTTAGCCCAGTCTGTGGTCAGTGAATGTCTGTTTCTGCTTCCTTGTAAAGGGTTTGTATTCTTGGCTGTTGTCCTGCTCATGTCAGTTAGGTTGTATTTGCTAATCATATTCCAGTCTTCTCTAGTCCTGACTTTTTATTTTGGTATGCTTTTTCTGTCACTTACTGAGATTGGTGTATTAATATCTCCCTCCATATTGGGAATCTATCCACTTTTTCCTTTTAATTCTGTTAATTTTTCTTATTTATTTGGAGCCTATGTTGTTCCACGAGTGTAAATTTAGAACTATGTGCTCCTCGTGACTTGAACCTTTCAAAATGATGAATTTTCCCGCTTTATCTCTGGTAATGCCTTTTCCCCTAAAGTTTACTTTGTCCACTGATCCTGTGGTGACAACACGTTGTTTTGCTTAGGGTTTTCATTACTTGTTTTCTTTCTTTTTTACTTAGGATTCTTTGGTTATCTTTATTGTCTCAGTGTTTTCTTTTAAGTAGTTGCAGTTTGCTTTCTTTTATCCCAGAGTGACAACCCTTCTTTCAGTTGAAACGCTAAGATTACTTACAGTTAATATAATAATTATGTTTGCATTTAAACCAGCCCTCATGCTAGTTATCTTCTATTTCCTTCACCTTTTCTATGCTCCGTCACTATTAACTCTCTGAATTATTGGTTGTGCTGTGTATTGTATCACTCCCATTTGTCATATTAAGACTAATTTTTCTTTTTTAGGAAAAGATAGAGTTTTCAACACACCGTTGTGTGAACAAGGAATTGTTGGGTTTGGAATTGGGATCGCAGTCACTGGGGCTACTGCCATTGCGGAAATTCAGTTTGCAGATTATATTTTCCCTGCTTTTGATCAGGTAAGAAGGTTTCATTTTACTATAATTGAACATTTTTTTTAAGATTTTTGTTTATTTATTAGAGAGTGAGAGAGAGTGAGAACACAAGCAAGGGAAAGGGCAGAGGGAGAGGGAGAGGCAGACTCCCTGCTGAGCAGAGGGAGCCCCCCATGGGGCTCAATCCCAGGACCCCGAGATCATGGCCTGAGCCAAAGGCAGATGTTTAACTGACTAGGCCACCCAGGTGCCCCTATGATTAAACATGTCTTAGATTACATCCATGAAGTGTTGGAGTTTTGCCTCCACTCTCCCACCTCTGATCTTGGGGATTTTTCGGTCATCTTTGAGCTAATGCATTATGAGTTATTTTGTTATGGGCATATATTTAAACATCTAATAAAATGGTTAAGGAAAGGGATGACAATAAAAAACTCCTTGTGACCTGTCCTTTTTCTCTCCCCACCCCCCACCTAGATTGTTAATGAAGCTGCCAAGTATCGCTATCGTTCTGGGGATCTTTTTAATTGTGGAAGCCTCACCATCCGGGCCCCATGGGGCTGTGTTGGCCATGGGGCTCTTTATCATTCTCAGAGTCCTGAAGCTTTTTTTGCTCACTGCCCAGGAATCAAGGTATCCTCATTTATACACTTTGTTTGATCTCTGTTGGATATTTCCATTCTGGTTCATTCTCTTAACTAATATGCTTATCTAGAGGAAAGCAAACAGGATTTGTGGAATTTATGTGAACTTAATTGCTTTTTTTAGAAAGGGAGTATTTATTTTAGATCAGCTCTCCAGTTCCCAGGTTTATAGAATATTCTTGTTGAAGTAGCATTGGCTTAACCCTGACATTAATTTCACCGACTGTAAATGATGAGACAGAGAACATAGTTGGTTTAACTTCCCCCTCTTTCAAAGCTCTGTTTCTTTCTAATGGTGCTTTCTCACTTAACCAATTCTGGGTAAATTTTAATAGATATACGGTTTAGTGCATATTTACCTCAAAGTCAGAGGGATAGGACTTTTGCTTCAGTTTAAGAGAAGCCTCTGTTATCCAGATGTGTTTTCCGGGTAAGGTAATACTCCATCAAGTAATTTTGAAGCATCTCTCTTTTAAAGCTGTCTGTAATAATCTTAAGTCTTCCACAATGGTTTAGGTATTTTGATTAAAAAAAAAAGTGACAATTGGGCATATTTTATGTTTTAATTTTTTACATTATCTTTTCCATTTCTATTTGCTAAAGAGCCTTCCAGGGCATCGTGATAGAAACTCCTAGATCCACCCAGGGCTGTATGTGTGTTTGAGAACATGAATTGGCTGTAAACATGTGTCTGTTTTATTTTTATAAAGTCACAATTTTTTTTTTTTAATTGAGTGGAGGTTGCATAATTTTTCAACATAAGCTGGAAGCGGTAGGTTGGGACAGAAGCCACATTTGAAGCACCACTTACTTTATTTATTATTATTTTTTAAAGATTTTTAAAATTTATTTCACAGAGCAAGTGAGCATAAGCAGGGAGAGCAGCAGAGGGAGAGGAAGCAGGCTCTCTTCTGAGTAGGGAGCCCAATGCAGGACTCGATCCTAGGAACCTGGGATCATGACCTGAGCAGAAGTCAGATGCTTAACCATCTGAGCCACCCAGGCACCCCTAAACACACTTATTTTTGTGCCTGAGCTGAACACTGATTGACATTTAAAGTTTATGATCTTACCCAGCACTTTTAAGAAGAGATTTTTGTCCCCTCACAATCCCTTTTCTTCACTTGTCCCTTTCCCTCTTTTTAATCCCAAATGGAAATAGTACAAAATGCTAGAAATACACGAGGAAAGCAGATGAAGAGAAACTAAAGTAGGAACCTAAAGACATTGTGTATTATGGTAAGCAACGTGTTCAGAAGTCTTTTTTTACAGAAAAGAGTGAGATTTGTGCTATTTTTAAAAAATAATCCTTCAGTTTAAAATGGTGTAAAATTGATTTGGAAAGCCAAATGTAGTTTGTTTCAAGGAATCTCATTTGAGTCTTTAAGGTAAATTCAGATTTATTTGAATTTATTTGAATAACACTTCCCATGTAACACTGGTATTCACTGGTATTTACGTAATTATTTTAACAGTTGTTAAAAACTAGACATAAGTTGTGATTTTTGGCAAAATGGTATAGTAAGAGCTTAGGGTCTGGTGTCAGAACTGTGAGAGAAACCATGGTCAAACAATCAGTGTAACTTTGGGCAAATTATTTGATCTCTTTTTTAATCCCTTGGTTCTCTTTCTAAATGGGGAAAATAATAATAGTATGGTTTGCTAAGAAGAATAGTATCCACATAGAGTGCTTGGCCCAGTTAACACATGTGCCATCTTCTGTGATCATCCTCCTCCTTGTCAAAGGCCTTCTCGAGAAGGTTCTGGATCCCTTTCATCTCAGCTGGAAGTGGGCAGTATCCACACTTTCCTTTCAGTGTTGTGATAATTGGACATTACAGTGCCCAGATCATAAAGTTCAGTGAATTATTTTCCACTTAGGAAATGAAGACCCTGTGTCTCATGGGAAAGGAGGAAATTTTGTATCAAAATTGGAGAAGAGTTACATGCCCTTTGAAAGTAGCAGTAGGGTATAAGTGGAAAATATTTTTTTTATAGGTGAATATAGGAAGATATTGACAACTTTGCTTCTTGCAGTTTCCTTTTAATATATGTATGGAAGCTTAGCTTTTTAAGAGAACAGTATCTTAGCTACTAGACTGTGATCGGCATCTGATAAATACTTGTTCAACAATGGAATTTTTGGGGGATGGGACAATATGTAACGTTTATAATGGTAATTAGGCTAAAAATGCAGGAGCTCTGCAATTAGTAATAATTAGTTACTGAAATATCTCCCCTTCTTATAAGTGAGTTTACTGGACTACATTTTGTATCAAAATGGTCTTTAAAAAAAAATCTGTTTTTGCAGGTGGTTGTACCCAGAAGCCCTTTCCAGGCCAAAGGACTTCTTTTGTCATGCATAGAGGATAAAAATCCTTGTATATTTTTTGAACCTAAAATACTTTACAGGGCAGCAGGTAAAGGTTTCCTTTATTTTATATTTGTGAATATCTTTATGCATTTTGTTTTGCACAGCTCAAAAAAATTTTAACCTTTTTGTTTTGTGAGTTTGATTTATATTTTCCTTGCTTATAGAAAATTCTCACTGCTTTCTTCTGTATTTAGTTTGTCTTTCACTGTTTATTTTATGCTAACTTTAGGCAAAAATCCGTCCTTCTGTTTTAGGTTCTAATTGTGGAAACAAAGGAGCAATGTGAAATGGTAGCAAGAACATAGAGGCTATGTTTAGCTACATAGTAGATGCTTAGTAAGTGTAGGTTGAACGGAAAAGTGAATGAGTGCATTGTACCAAATAATATCAAATTTCCTTCTAGCTGTAGGTCTTTCTCTAAATCAAGATACCTTTGATAGCAAAGGGGGCACTGACAATGCTGTGGTTTCAGGTCAACACTGGAATGACTGTCTAAGGCAAATTGAGATGTTCAGTCACCCTACATTAAGCATGAAGTCATAATTCTGTAACCATTCATCTGTGACTGCTTCTTTATCACCTATAATGGAAAATTTTTTTAAAAGATTTTATTTATTTATTTGACAGACAGAGCTCATAATTAGGCAGAGCGGCAGGCAGAGAGAGAGGAAGGGAAGCAGGCTCTCTGCTGAGCAGAGAGCCCGATGCGGGGCTCGATCCCAGGACCCTGGGATCACAACCTGAGCCGAAGGCAGAGGCTTTAACCCACTGAACCACCCAGGTGCCCCGAATAATGGAAATTTTAAATATCAAGCTATTCTATCTAAACTATATTTTATTTTGGATATAAAGAACATTGCTTTTGTAAATCATTCTTTTTCTCAAGTCATTAGCTTTATCATTTTCTGTTGTGATGGGACTTACTTACAATAAAGGGCACAGATATTCAGTGTTCAGTTTGATAGCTTTTTTTTTTTTTTTTTTTTTTTTGACAGTCTTACACATCAAGGTAAAGACAGTGAAAAACAAAATCTAGAACAATCTCCTCACTCCAGGAAGCTCCTCCTGTCTCTTCTCTGCCAGCCCATTTTCTCTAACCCAAACTTAGCTACTTTCTGATTCTGTCCCCGTAGATTAGTTGCACATGTGTTAGGGCTTTGTAGAAATGAATCACACCATGTGTATCCTCTTGTGTTTGCCTCCTTTCTCAACCTCATGTTTTGAGATTCATTTACCTTGTTGCTTGTTAGCAGCAATTTATGCCTTTTTCATTTGCTGAGTAGTATTTCCACTGTATGAATTTAATCATGATTTATCTATTCTCCTATTAATGAACAAATGTCCATCACTGTTTTCAGTTTTTGCCTATTTTGTAGAAGGTTGCTAGGGACATTCTTGATCAGGTGCTTTGTGAACATACTGTTTCTTTTCTTTTGAATAATAAACATCCAGGAATTGAGATTGGTGTTTCATAGGGTAGATGTTGATTTAACTTGGTAAGAATCTACTGAAGAGTTTTTCAAAGGAGTTATGCCATTTTATACTTTCACTGGAAATTTTTCAGACTCCCAGTGCTCTTAAGTTAAACATATTTTAAATGGAATCTTTACATTTTTAAGGAACTCTGTTGTGATGTATATGTCATTATGGAATTAAAAGTAACATAAGAATTTAAAGTCTTGAGGTGAATAGGAATACACAGATGGTGTACACTGAGTAGCTATTTGATTGCTAATTACTTTAGATCCCTTATGGGTATTATATTTATAAGTCCTACCAACTGTGCTAGCTTATTTAAAAAAAAATTTTTTTTTAAATTTTTTATAACTGCTAGCTTATTAACTAATGCAGATTTTTAAAGTACGTATTTAATAAATGGAGAGTGAAAAAGAAACTTAGGAAAGTAATATTCATTTGGCTGCAAATTTTGAAAGCAGGATTGGAAAGGGAAATGTATAACTTTACAGAATTCAGCTAAGAGCTTGAGAAATTTGTTGTAGCCTTGGCACTGGGAGAGAGGTTATGAAAAACACTGATGAGGAATGGGGCTCAAAAGTTTTTCAGAAGTTTCCCAGTGATTATGTGCCATTTCAGGGACTTTAAGTCTGAATCTTTCCTTAGATCCAGGGGGTCAGTAAAGAGTAAAACAGGTTCTTTCACATCTGGAGAGTTTCTCTGCAGAAGCAAGTAGTCTAGGAGAAAAGAGCTAGCCACCAAAACCTTCATATCCATCCATGTTCTCTAGAGTTGATCCCTGGACCAGCAGCCTAAGCCTCCTGGGAGCTTATTAGAAATGCACATTGTCAGGACTCGATTCATGACCTGCTGATTTAGAACCTCCCGAGCGAGGCTCGGCTGTCTCTTAGCGGCCCTCCCAGTGACTCTGACTCCAACTAAATTTTGAGAACCAATGCTTCGTATCAGTTCTGAAGCAGTAACTGATGCTGTCCATCTCCATTTATCTTCTTTTACTCTTGGCTCTTATATTGAATTCAGGATGCTCTTATCCCATGGTTTTCTTAGACTTGGCTTCTGGTTCAAATTGGTGTCTGACAGTTGACCATATTTTGGCTGCTGCTTTTATTGGAGGGGAGGGGAGCGGGGGAGCTCTGCCTGCTCTGCCACCGATTCTTCATTGGCCTCCATGCAGTGGCTCTCTCCATCTTTGTTCCTCTCTCAGGTCTGCCTCACGCTGCTGGAGGAAACGCCAAACTTCCGGTTGTTCAGAATGAAATAAAAAGGAATGGAGCATTTTTGATTCAGTAACTTGAGTTGCTTTGTAGAAGACATTTCTGTATTAACAGAATTAGATAACGCAATGAAAGAAGATACTTTAGATTTATCACAGAGGCCACTTAGAAGTGGTGGCAGTGGGAAGACTTCTAGTATCCATAAATAAAAATTTAAGAGGTTGAGTATTATTCCTACATTCTTTTTGAATTTTCAGCATACATTTGGGAATAGTTAAAATAGCATAGACCAGATATATGAATCTTTACATTTAGAGTTGTTTAAAGGGATTCATATTGGGAAGGTTCATGCATGTATTTTAAATACCAGGCTGGCAATCCTTCGCAAAAATAATCGGAAGTTGTATTCATTACGTTATAGCCCATTTATGTTAATTATTAAGTAATCTTAATTAAACGGAACATAATCTTATATAAGTAAATGTAACTTATGAGTATAATGCAATGTTTATAAAATCATGTATGTGAGCCCTTGTATTTTATTTATGGAATGACCACTTAAACATAGATATATTCATGAAGTAGATGATTCTACAAAAGTTAGATATATTATTTAGGCTAACAATAAGGCCTTAAGTAAGTAAGGTAAGGCCTTAAGTAAGATGGAAATTTGTTTCTCTCTCACATAAATATCAGGATACCAGAATCCTTCTGTCTGGTTTCTCTGTTTGTCTTTGTGACTTTCTGGCTTCTGGTCCCAGATGGCTGCTCTGCTCCCAAATCAAAGAAACATTTCAGCCACAAGGAAGGGGGGAAATAAGGGGAGGGGAAGAGAATTCTCCTCCTCTTAAAGAATGATTTGGAAATTATACATATTAAATCTGTGCATAGTCTGTTGGTCAGGACTTCATCATGGTGCCACACCAGTCACAAGGGAGGCTGAGAAAAGTTGTCTTTGGCTTAGTGCCCAACTAAAAATTTTATTATACGATGATGGGAGATGAATATTAACAACTACCAGCATCTGCCATGGTTGCTTGAATGGTTCCCAGAAGAAGTTGTAGATTTTAAGGAGGGAAGAGAACTGATAGCAGTAATGATTATTACCTTGGACCCAT